GGCCTAACCCCACCCCTCGCACTGTGACTGCTGGATATGGGCACCAGTGACCCACGTGACCCTGAAAGAAATAAGCGTGCACAGAAAATGGATGGATTTTATTGATTTATTACACTTACACATTACGCTTTTATAATTATTAGTTGTAAAACGGTCACCAGGCAATATTATCGTTTATCGCAATAAATTTTGAGACAATTAATCGCCCAGCAAAATTTGTTATCGTGACAGGCCTAGGTGGGGTACACCCTGGACAGGTCGCAAGTCCATCACAGGGACACACATAGAGACAAACGAGACAAATAACCATTCACTCTCTCACTCACACCAAGGGACAATTTAGAGTTATCAATTAACCTAACAGTCATGTTTTTAGTCTGTGGGAGGAAGCCGGAGGAACCGGAGAGAACACGCAAACTCTACCCAGAAAGGTCCCCGTGCCGGGATTTGAACCGGCAACCTTCTTGCTGAGAGGCATCAGCTCKACCAACTGACTACACCCAAAGGCATAGTCAGATTGATAACTGCAACTGTTTATTAGCCTCTCCTTTACACAGGATGATGACCCCACTGAATCTCCATGACTTGGCAAATTTTAGGTTACTCTTGAAGGCAGTTATGACTCTGCTAAACTCTTGGCAACCCTGATATACTGTATGATATAATGATATAGTTTCAGCTAAATATATTAGGTTAAAGTAAAGTCACAGTCATTTGTAAATGGGGGAACAAAATGAAACATTTAGAGGTTTTAGTCAACAAAAATCAAAGTGAGTAACCTTCCTCCACACTTACTCTTTTGGGTGTTTACTTTCCACATTTCTTTAGAAGCCCTTTGAACAATGGTTCCTAAGGTCATTTAACTAATGGTTCCCAAGGTCATTTAACCAATGGTTCCTAAGACTATTTTAGCTAATGGTTTCTAATGCCATTTAACTAATGGTTCCAATGGCCATATAACCAACATTTCCTAAGACCATTTAACCAACAGTTCCTAAGGTCATTAACTAATGGTTCCTAAGGCTATTTAACCAACGGTTCCTAAGTCCATTTGGTTCCTCTTAAAGATGAGGACCAAAATCAGCCTCTTTGTGACAGGTTCCCTATCCTCACAAGTAATTTTGCCTGTCCTTTTCCTATCTGACGGCTTTCAGTATTCCATCCTCCCCCTTGCCTTCATCTCCATGCCCTCACCCAGCCTTCCCAGCTTTCTTAATAGGCTTACTTCCATCGTTCTCTTTCACCATTAACCTCCCTATCATATGCAGCCCTGAAGCTGTTCATCCTGTATCAAATTATTTTTGTTGTTTTAAAATCTCAACAGTTTCTGTTCTCCACCTTTTGCCTTAAATGCCCTCCCCTAACATATATTTTCAGCTATACTTTGCTGCCCCTTTTTATGTTGCTTTACATTTCAGTCAAACCAGTAAGTAAACAATAGAAAAGTAAGTTGCAATTGAAATTTTTAAAATGGTCACATTTGCTCATATTTACAGTCAACCTCTTTATAAGCTGTCAATTTCTTGGAGCATGCCTCCATTACCCAACCAGCATGTAGCACTGAACCCTCCCTTTTCCATCCACCCTCTGTTTTAGCCCCCACTCTGCTTCCTCTCTCTTTCCTGCTTCAGCGTATCCTGCTTCCCATCTGAATCCATATCCTCCTCCTCCTCTCAGACTCACAACCAGAGCAGATCTTCATCGGCTGCCCTGATGGAGGTCAGCCTGCTCCACATTGATCGTGAGTGCCAAAAGGGCTAGGAAGGCAAGGTGAAGCGCATTCAATGGCTGTCATTTCRTTATRTGGTGGGCAAGGAGGAGRAGAGGGAGGGAGAGGAAGGCAGAGCAAGGAGAGGACAGTGTGATAGAGAGAGAGCAGCGGGATAGAAGCAGAGCAAGAGAGAGAAAGTGCTCCGGCACTCACAGCTCACATCGCTGGCTGGCTTGCCTGCTCACTGTTGACGAATGAGCTGTCTTCCCACAGGGCTGGGAAACGGCAGCTTGTGACAAGCTGGGGAGAGAGGAACATGAATGTAATGCGTACCTTGCCTCGTTTGCTTTCAGATACTGGCCAGAAGAAGACTCCAGAAAAGAAGGATGGGAGGCGCTTATCATTCCAGAGACCCAAAGGAACCATAGAATATTCWGTGAGTAACATGCAGCCAACTCCGCTCTGTCTCTGTGCTGATGTCCTTATGTGTTAAAATGCTTTCTGTTCTRCTCCTGCTGTGCGCTGTGGGTTTGTGTGTGTCTGCAGCTGGTACTTTGTTGGTTTGACCAGCTCCAGCAGTATTCAGGATGCAGCAGTTGTTTGTGTTTTGAAAGAATTGTTGGATGGTAGCTCWTTATTAATGAGGAGAATCGTTTTATGGATTTTTCTAGTTCACCACGTGCACCTCGTTCTGAGGCTGTTTACATGAAGAGCACTGTGTATTTGTAAACAAACATGCAGCATAGCTGTTAGATATCCTGAGGGAAATTAGTACCCTCTGTCACAGATCCCAGTGCAGCACTGCATTGCTTAACTCCATTTTGCATGTTGACATATTAGAAGGAGACAGGGAATTGTGACAGCTCTGGTTATTCCTCAAGCTGCTTAAGATCAGACCAGACAGACATGAGGGCTGGCAGGATGTGTTATTTGTTTTTCCACTTGTTCTCTGTGCTGCAAAGCAGCGAGCATTCCACCACACAGCTCCGTGTGTTTGCGAATGACCTTCCAACTGCGTTGTCATTTCTATTGATTTAGCTGTTGTGTGGAAGGAGGGGAGGGTGAGAATACAGGGAGAGAGAGAGAGAGAGAGAGAGGGAGGGAGGGAGATGGAGAGAGAAAGACAGCGGATCCTGTTCTCAGGCATGAACTGAATGAAGCTCTCTGCTTTGCCTGGTTATGTTCTTCAAATGACCCTGAAATCCAGCTGAAGACGAGCGTCTTTTTCTCGCCTACTCTGTAGCAGCTGAGAGGAGTGGGACTGCATATGTGATCAGAGGAAGTGAGGGACGTAGGGAGTGTATAGTTTGTGGTCTGTTGTCATTCCGATCCTTGCTTCCGGTTCCCCTCAATCTCATCAGTCCCTATGTTGCCAGGTCTCCTCAAATTGACCCCGTCAGGAAGAKCACTCGTRCCACCTGTCAGTCATTTCAGACATACTGATTGACAAGGCCCCTGTTTACCTCACAAAGGCTTGAACAAACTTGTGCATTACAACATGGTATTTATAAAAGCCAATACACTGTAGCATGGCCCTGAAACAAACCAAAGGACCCGAGTCAGAAAGACGGACATAAATGCTGATGATAAAGGACAGGAGGGAGGCGTGAATTCATATGGCATACTAATCTGGTTCCAGTCAGCCATCATTCTTTCTCCATGTTTCCTCCGTATAACCCCCTGCAAAATTACTGATAGTGTGATGGATGGATAGAGCGCTGCCATTGGTTTTGTCCTGCGACTTGACATGCTGCAGCGGCACAAAGAGGAGAAACTCAGGGCCGCAAAGAGTCACTATAACCGAACGTATGAGACAACGTCCCATTGATCGAAAGACAGCTTTATCTAAAACTCATCTYCCGCACCGGGGGTGCACAGCCAATGTTTCCTTTTTTCACTCGACGACAGATAAGTTTATAAATATCGCCTGGCATCCACAGGAAGAAGGAGAATTTCCTCCTGTGCTTCCTTATCATTATGATCCCCCCCCTTCCCCCGGTGCACACACACACACACCTTTACCTCACACACGCAAGCTTTTTTTTTGTATTGAGAAATAACCTGTGCAGCTGCAACCCATCTGCCTAGACACTGATAACGCCAGTCCATTCAGATATGTCCAGCTGTTGGCTGACCTGCATCCAATTAAAGAGTGTTTAAAGTGTCTGTGAACAAACGAGACAGATAAGGAGAAATAAAGATGTAGACAGAAAGGGGCAAAGAGTCATGCAAGGATGAGTCACATCATGTGGCTGTGTGGAGGGGAGGGGACGTGAGGCCTGACAAACAGCCCTGTGAGAACTGTTTGTCTGTCAAAGTAAAAACAAAAAACAAAAGAAGAAGAAGAATATTGAGGGCACAGGCCACACAATTTGCTCCAGACACCACGGTCCTTTATGCTTCAGTTTGGGTTGTTTAAAACTAAACAGACTTCTTCACAATCCAAAGGATGTGTTGACAAGTTTTGGCTTGGTTCGTTGTATCTAATTTGTTGTTTTGCACTTTATTTCACTACCAGCATTTCTTTTTMTAAAGAGTAATTAATCTTGGCTGTGGAAATATTTGTAAAGTCAAAATATGCAGGAAGTGAGAGGCGTCATAAGCAAAGTGCACCTTCAGTTTTTAGTAACTAATGACTTTTTGCTAATGCATCTTGTTTAAGTTTGTTGCGTCCTATCATTCTCTTTATAACCTATTGTTGTGCAATTGTTTTTAARGAGAAAACTGAGAATAAAATGATGGTGTTGCCCATGTGGTATTAATAGCTTTTGGCATTACAACAAGCAGCATTTACGTCTAGCAAAATTCTCACCACCTCGCTCATCTTATCATGTACTCTCATTTCTCCTGGGAAAGTCTCAGCTTTTTTTATTTTTTTGTTTTTGGTTCTGATTCTAGTTAAATTCAGAAGTTATTGGACTGCCCTACATTTCAAGTGAAATGTAGTCTCCAATTTTCCCAGAGGTTTTGTGTTGTGATCATAGATTGTTTTATTTAATTTACTTTAATCAAACCAGAAATTGTGTCTAACCTTTAATAAATATTGGGCCTTTCAACACATCTGGATAAGCCACTTGCTCAGTTGATCCTATCTGGGTGTGTCCTACTTGCTTAACATTTAAGACCTCAGTTTTTCTCTTCAACAAAGGCTGCCACAACAAAGTGATTTATATATACATCCTGGACAGACTGCCAGTCTATCACTGGCTACAGGCAAAAACAAAACAAACATTCAAACAAAATATTTTGGCCTAAAACTGCTCACCCACAATCCTTTATGGTTAAATACATCACTTTCTGCTGATATGGCACAATAAGCCTCTCATTGCGTGTTGTATAGTGCCACTTAAAAACAGTTTGAAAGAGAGGACTGTCTGGATATATGAATTGCATCCCAAGAGGCAAAATGGAAGCTCAGTGTTCATTATTTAGTCTTTCTGGCCAAGAACATAAGTAGTTTAAAACCCTGTGTTCTAGTTAGTTGTAGAAAAGCAGAAATGTCTGCTAGCTTCTATTAAAAATAACCTCGGATTAGCTTGGAGACATGTTAGTGCAAGAGATTTTCAGCCCTGGTAGCAATGTGGCCACAGGGATTGGAAGGTCAGTCGGTCACTTGGTCAATTGAGAAGCCAGTCAGTCGTTTTATTACTTCGGTTCAGGTTGTTAAGATTGCAGTGAAAATTGGAACAAAAATTTGTCACATCCAGAGGATAAATCTAGTCGACTAGTGTTCCATTCAGTTTTCATCCATGTGAAAGAAATTAAAGTTGACATTTATTCTGTGTAAAACACCAACATTCCCAAGTTCCCAAATAATCTGGTCTCATATGTTTGATCTCTGTATTACTCATTGCTTCCATGAGGTTGACAGATAAAATTATACGTCAAATGTATGTGGCTGTGATGCGGTGGAAGGGCAGCCAACTTGGGACCAGAAAGTCACAGGCTTGATTCCCCGCCATGCCCACATGTCGTGGTGTCCTTGAGCAAGACATCCACTCCCTAACTGCTTCCCAGGTGCTCAAATACAGTATGTAGCTGGCTGCTGTGCCGCTCAAGTGCATCTCACATGTAATGGGCCAAAAGCAGAGTGCAAATTTTGTCACTGTTTGGAAATGTCCACTGATGACATTATATAGCACTTTATATGTCAACAAACATAAAATGGACATAAAATTTAGTCAACACATTTAATGACAGTGCTTGAAAAAATGAAGAATGGGGTAAAACAAACGTTGGAAATCTATTGTATAGATCAGTGTTTTCAACCCTGGTCCTCAAGGCACACTGCCCTGCATGTTTTAGAGGTTCCCCTGCTTTGRCACACCTGATTCAGATGATTAACAGGCTTTTGTTGAACTGCAGTCAGTTACCAATTGAAATCAGTTGTGGTGAAGCAGGGAAACCTCTAAAACATGCAGGGCAGTGTGCCTTGAGGACCGGGGTTGAAAAACACTTCAGTGTCTTTTGGGGAGAAAAGAAAACTTTTAAATATTAAGAGTTGTTTGGACATAAATCATAAAGTGTATGTTTAGGTAAATACACTAAGATTTAAAAAGTTTCAGGTTTTATTGTGGGTCCTTTTTGTGTGAAGTTTGTTCTCATTGTGTATATCTGGGTTTTCTCATCCCAGAGTCCAGAAACATGCATGTTAAATTAACTTGTGATTCTACGTTGATTTTTAACTCTGAGTGTTTGTCTCCTTGTCTCTGTGTTGACCCTGTGGTTGACTAGGCTCCCTGCTCCCTTCTACAGAATGGCTGAAAAGAAAATTTTGAGTTTAATATTCACAGCAGATTGGTTGTTGTTAGTAACATTGTAGCCAGGTGACTCTATGTCACGTCTTTAAGTTTAGTGGATCTCTACTGAGCTGCAAGAAGGAAGGCACTGTGTCCATTAGAACAGAGGTTCTCAAACTACCAGGGGTCTGTGAGAGGTAACTTGGGGGTCCTTAAAAAATTTCACTAAGTTATTAATTTGGTTTTTATTTTAAAAAATGCATGGAGAACAATGAACTAATAAAACAAACATAATAAACTAAATAAAAAATAAATATTCCCATGGCATTTAGGGGTTGAAATGACAATAAATTTTCTTTTAAAACAGCATGGGGTTTATGAGGGGGTCCCTGGAATTTTTTTTGCCCTTGTAAGGGGTCCCCAGACCCAAACGGTTTGAGAACCCCTACAGTAGAGGACTTGAGGGACAATGAGTCATAGACCAAACACCAGGGGCCTCATGTACAAAGACTTGCGTGGATTTCTTACTGAAACCTGACATACGGTCAAATCCAGAAAACGGCATACGCACAAAAAAATCCAAATGTATCAAACTGTGCGTACGCCTGAATCCACGCACATTGCTTTTGTACATCACAGTTAACGTGGAACTGAGCGCAGGTAAGACACCTCCCCTGACACGCCTTCATTAACATAT